TGGGGGGTGGGGGGGGGCAAATCCCATTTGGTTGGGATATCTGTGGACTGAAGGGTTATAGTTATGGTACGCTGAAATGAATCAATGGCAAAAGGTACAATTTTCAATATAATATAGAGGCCTAATATTCTCCTTTTTATTGTTGAGGTGGAGCCATAAAATGACTGTGGGCCTTCTTGGTCTGAAAAGAAATGAAATACTGTATAAAACAGGAGGTGCTGGAGCAAGTTGGGGGGAGGGGGGGGGGGGGGTTAAGTTGCGAGTGGGATAGGGAATGGGAGTCAGGGAAGGGAAAGTAAAAAGATGGAGTGGTATTGATGGTGTGCGATTTAGGTACACACATTCTGGTTTGAAGAAAAAGGCTTTGTGAAAGTCTAAAGCACTGAGCGTTCTGTATTGGTTTTTGGTAATGCGATTGTATGCCCGGATATTGCCTTTATGCGTTTGTGTGTGTGTGTGTGTGTGTGTGTGTGTGTGTGTGTGTGTGTGTGCGTGCGCGCGTGTGTGTGTGTGTGTTCATTCAAACGCCCTAGATCAATCGTTTTGCTCTATTTTTCTTCTTCTATATTTACAATTCACACTTAGCAGTTGTTTAGTGTAGGCTCAGACATGCGTGTGTGTGGCTTTGGAAAACTGGTTGGGAAAAATGATGTCGCGGTATAGCAGGTCAGAAATTAGTACTGAAAGATTACTATTCTCTCTCTTTCCTTTCCTACCCCTCCGCCCCCCCCCCCCTCTCTCTCTCTCTCTCTCTCTCTCTCTCTCTCTCTCTTTCTCTCTCTCTCAATCAATCAAGGATACCAGAAAGTAACACTGTCTCGTCTTTAAAGGAATTGCATGTCTATAAACTGCATCGTATCATAAAAATAATATCAAATTCGGAACCAGCATATCAAATTTAACAACATGACTAGCGGGTGACTCTCTTTCTAGCCAAGCTGGATATGGAAGATCACAAATATAAATACTTTTTAAAAAAACAACTTAGATTAAGCTTAGATCAAAAACTATTTTCTTATCACAAAGAGGACAGACAAATTGTCAATTTTCACTTAACGTGTAATAACCCCCTTACGTCTATCTGAGCAGCGTTGAACCAACACTGAAGAGCATATGTATTACGCTTAATTTTTTATTTTTTAAAATGATTTTTTTTTAAAGTGGAATTGGAAAGCAATCTCTCAATCGTGGAGTATTACATAACGGTATTCCATAACGGTACATAGAGATGGAAACCTGCGACTTCATAAATTCCTCAGCTCACAATCATGAAAATTCGACTGTGTCATGTTCTTAGGAATAAATTGAATGCAATCTTTGTTTAAAGTGAGAGGGTCGAAGAATGTATCTTCTTCTGCTCCCGTAGATTTGTCACTCAGTTGGGTCGCCTATGACAGATGACAACAAATCTCCTCCACTCCTCTCTGCTCTTTGTTTTCCTCACGCTCAGTGTGTCCTGCAGCTCCATGCCTGTCCGTTTTCGGGTGTTATCGTCCCATCTTTTCTTCTGTCTGCCTCTCCTCCGTCCTCAGAAGAGGAGTGAATGGTTCCTTCTAAAATGTAACGCAAAAGTTGGCGCCACTACAGTGAATATGTATATAGATTATTAAGTTCTTAGTTACCTTACCGCTTTACCCTTTCGTTTGTGTAGTGTATTCGATCATTTGACCGTTTTTTTTTAAATTTACTCAAATTTTATTTTGTTATTTTTGTCCTCCATAGGCGTGTCTCGGGGGAGGTTACATCGAGGTTGACTTCGAGCGCTACAGGCACAACTGTGACGAAGATGGCTTGTTTGGTTCCTCTTGCGACCCCATGTTCACCTTTTGTCTAAGCAGGCCAAGAGAAACGTAAGTATATTTCTGATAATGATAATAATAA